AATAAAGAAATAGATCACAGCACAATAAGCCAGATGGATAATGCCCCAGGGTGGAAAGGCAGGTTGCCATTTTCATGAAAAGGGTCAGAGAGATTATATTAAAGACAGACTCTCAGGAGGCGATAGAGCAAGACACGTGGATGAGAGGGGAACATGAGGCAAAAGGGATAGCAGGGCAAAGGCCCTGAGACAGGAATGTGTCTGATGTGATCAAGGAATATTGAAGTTGCAGAGAGAAGGAGACCAGAGGAAAGAGATTGAGTGAGAGAAGTAGCAACAACAACAAAAAAAAAACAGAGCAAGGCCTCTTCTGCTGACACTGGAACTCTGAAGTCACTGGGGCATTGGAGCAACCCAACTTAATGTGTTACCAGATTGCTCTCCTGTGTTGGGAATGCAGTGTAGGGGGCACCGGGCAAGCAGCAAGCAAAGCAACTAGTGTAACAGTCTCATCTGTTCTATAACCAAATCCAGAAGTCACCTTGAATCACCCATGATTTCTCACCCATGGATTTAACCAAAGGCAGAGGGGGAAAATTGTGCCTGTACTGAGCATAACAGGCTTTTTTTCTCATTGTCATCCTCTAAACAATACAACAACTATTACATAGGTTTATATTGTGCCAGGTACTATAAACAATCTAGAGATGAATTCAAGTATACAGGAAGATTGTGTAAATTATATGCAAATACTATGCCACTGAATACAAGGGACTTGAGCCTCTTTGGATTTGGGTATCCTGGGGTCCTGGAACCAAACCCGTGGATACTCGGGAACCATTTTATGACTTTGTAAAGCTGTTTTACTCCTAAGGGAAATGGTTCTACTGCTAAAAAGACAGGAAGAATATTTTTTAAACCATGAATACAGTCCAATTTGAAATGTGAGGCTCTGTGTTGGCTAAATGTCTGTTCTGACCCAAAGTAGCCATGGAAACAGCAAAGCCACCAGGGAAACTCCCCACAGCAAGCCATCCATGCGGACAGAGTTCAGGAGCAGAGTATAGTTTCCTGGAGATCTTGGTAGGAAAGCTGTAAGAAGAGAGGTGGGGCAGGCCAGAAAGCAGCTTGGACGCCCTGGGGAAGGGACAGTTGTTCATCCTGCTGCCCCCTATTGTCCAACCTTCATTCCTCCCACACAGGATCTCTGAATCATGCCCCAGCCTGTAAAAACCAAAGAGAGGGTCATGGGGCTCAGAAGTCTCTTCAAGAGTGGAGTACCAGCATGGGCAAGTGGCACAGATCTGGGTGCACGATGAAAGTGTTGCCAGGAGAGTTGAAGGGTCATGCCCAATTCCAATGGGCTGTGTGGGCAAGCACCAAGGCCCTGCTTGGGACAGGCCTTGTTTGTGGGGAGCCATCAGGGTTGACTCAGTACAGCCTGCTAGGAGGGCTTATAAAAGCCCAGGCAGATACAAATACAAAACAGAGAAGGTCAATAGCCAGTTCTAAGGACAGACAGAGCTCTCCTACCAGGAGAAGTTTTCCTGGAAGCAAGGACATTGATTAGCATGGGAGAAAGAGTAGAGGGGAAGGAGGTTAGTGTCCCTGTTGTGAGAAGAGCAAGCTATCCAAAGGCATCCATCCCAGCATGGGCCAAACAAAGGAGGAGGACAGATCCTGAGTGGGCTGAGCAGTGAGTGATACAGCCTCAGAAACACAGGGTCTGTGCTCTGTGGAGTACAGCAGACCCAGAAGAAATCTTAGAAGTCACCAGGGGCTCCAGGTGGACAGAGAAACTCCCAATTAGTTCCTGGAGACCGCCTGGAAGTGGCCTTTTGGGAGTTATGGAAGTGGCCTTTAAGTTATGGGAGAATCATGGATTCCTGAGTAGATATTCTGACAGTGAGTGGTGCCTCCGAAGGTGTGGGGCCAGCAGAGGACAGGACAAGAGGGTAATGAGTGACCACACCTAAGACAAGAGGGCGGAAGAAGATCATTGGGAGTTGCCAGGGAAGCCCCAGAGAGGGTGTCTCAGAGACACTAAAGAGGAGAAATCATAACCTCCCGAAGACCAGTTCACAAGGCTTCCTGGGAGAGGGGCTGTTCTGGAACATTCCAGTCAAAGGTGTGACTAGGGAGAAGGCTTAGAGGTAAAGGGAGAGGTGCAGTGCAGGAAATCAGAGGGTGCAGATGGGCAGTGAGTGAGGATGAGACCAGTAAGAAGAGCTTCCATCCAGCCTCTGGAAGAGCCTGACACTCGAGGCAAGGACCTAGGGCTCAGCACCCTCCAGCAGTTGGGCGATAAGCGGGGACAGCCCTCTGGGCCTCTCTAGGGTAGAACCACAGAGCAAGGCCCCAGTCTCTCCAGGACAACTGCCCCAGACTGACCTGGGCTGTGAATTTCTTATTTGCTCTGGGCCACCTGGGGCCAGCCAGGAAGAGTCTGCCTCCCTCTCCTCTTTTCCTGAGCCCAGCCTGGATGGCCATCCAGCTAGCCCTGAGCATTCAACCAGCCCTGGGCTCAGCACTACTACACATTGCAACAAGGCAAACTTGACCCAATGCCCAGAGTACACTCCCCAACACCCCAACACCCATGTAGCCAGGTCCACCCTTGTTCCAGTCTTTCAGCCCTGCTCCAGTACCTGAAAACAGTGGGGCTGCCCCTATGTCTCCTGAATGCCCACCCTCTTTCCGAGGCCCCATTCCAAGTGGAGGAGGGGTGTGTGTGTGTGTGTGTGTGTGTGTGTGTGTGTGTTCACATGCGCATGTTTGGGGGCAAAGGAAAGCAGCTAAGACAGACCCTTGCTGGGGCAAAGACTTCATTCCCTGCTGCCCACAAGGAGAGGCAAAAATGGTTCTGGCTCCATCATCCTCAGCAAACTGAAAGAGGGCATGAGTTCTGGGGGGAAAAGAGAGGTTCCAAGATCCACTCTCTCCCATGCTTTGCCCTGTGCTCCTCCTGAATCCCTTGGACCCTCAGCACACCAACTTCAGTCTACACAGCAGTCGGTTGGCAAGTTCACTGTCCAAAGCCCCAGAACACACCCCAGGCAGCAGTGCCCCCACCGAGGGTGGGGCCTGGTGGTCATCTCCTGTGCTCCCCCAATACAGCATTCTCTCTCCACCCCAGACTCCACTTAAAATTTTTATACAAGTGAAATCAGGCTAAAGAAAACATTAAAGAGCAGTTGAAAGAGTAAAGGAGTTGTAATGTGCAGAAGAGGTGAAGGGCACAGGTGGCCAGGAACCGGCCCACTCTCTGCTATGTGACAGGGCAATAGGGATGTTTCCAACAGGAAGCAATAGTCCTTTTCCTTAGACAGAGTCTTATGGTTCCCAAAGCACCTTCCCATGAACTAATCTATTTAACTTTCCAACAACCCTGGAAGGTTGAGAATGAGTCCAACTGTATAATCAAGGAAAAGAAGGCTCAGAGAGGTTAAGAACTTCCTCTCTCAAAATCACATAGCTAGGAAGGGTTCAAGCTGGCACTTGAACAAGGTCTTCCAAAATTGAATCCATTGCTCAGGTTGCTAACTTCAGCCACTTCCCCATGAGTGAACCTGCCACGAATATCTTCTGGGGTCAGCTAGTGAGGCCTCTCCACCACCAGCAGCAGCTGCCTGCAGTCTCTCTACCTTCCCTGAAGAACAGATAAGGGATGTGGGCAAGAGCTTGATTGGCCTGGTCTTACATGAAAATTGGAGGTTGATTGGCCATGGAGAGGGGGACAGACCCAGGACATAACGAATGTGTGGCACCTTCCATGGGACACAGAATAGTAGTGGCAGTTTTTTGGTTCTGGAAGCCTCCCTGAAGGAGAAATCACCATCTGAGGAAAATCATTAGCTCTTTTTCTCTAAGTTCCTGACACCTCAAATGCCTAGCTAACCTCCCTGGGGAAAGAGACCATGTCTTCATGGTTTGTCTCAATAAACATGAACAGAATACCATTTATTATCCCAACAAGTGACCCAAGGCCATACAAAGAAGTAGAGACATTAGAAGGCCAAGACACCTAGAGCCCTCAAGAGCCAGAAATCATAGCTTCCTCACCAAGAGTGGGCCACCATCCACTCCCACCTTGTGCAGAGCAGTCTCTAGACATTCCTTTAAGGTGACAGTTCTGTGCTGGCAAGAAGAATGAACTAACTCCTCCTTCCCTGGGGTCTCGGAAAGAAGGAAAGACTCACAGAACCTGTTTCTTCCTAAAGAACAAAGGGAAGGTGCCCCAAGCAAGCTTAAAATGGGATTCTCCAATCATTACGGTCACATGAAATTGGCTAAAAGGAAGTCTTCCCATTACCCACAAATGGTCATTATTGTGACCACTGAGAGATGGGCGGTTTGTACTTTTGCTGAGTGAGAAACAGAACAGAGCCCTCTGGGCTGAACTCCAGAAAGTTCCAAATGACCATCTATCTGTTCCATGCCTCTGGAAAGAGCATGACAAAATGGCCCCTCTGGACCACCTTCCGGTCCATGCTGCCTGAATATCTGTGACACTATTGATTTATCAGCTCAAGACAGTGATATACTTGAGACTATGTCCTGCAAGAAGCCAGGTGGATCGAAGCAATCATTTCCCAAGGTTCACCCAACCTGGGACCCCTGCCATGAGACAGTGGACTCCACCAGTATCCCAAATCCACCCACCCCCAGATTATCATGGAGTTCAAATCTGTCTCCAAGTGTGGGTTGAGGCCATTTCACAGAGAGACTGCAAGAAAATTAATTACTTAATATGTGTAAACCGGCTTTGAAGATGAAAAGTGCAAACACACAATGTCCCTAATAACATCTTCAATACTTTTACGGAGCTCAACTCACTGCTGAGCTCACCTTTAAGACGAGTCCTTGGGAGTTGCTGGCCAGCTCCCCAAGCCAATAAACAACATAAAATGCCTTTTCACTCCTTTTATGAACCCAACCCCAGCTCTCCCCACCAATAAAAGGACCCAAGAGGATCAGAGAGACCAAGAGAATCCTAAGCCTCACACTCCACAGTCCACATCGACCTTTGCAACTGCTCAGACTCTGCTCAGATTCACAGGATGTCCTGCCGCTCCTACAGAATCAGCTCAGGATGTGGGGTCACCAGGAACTTCAGCTCCTGCTCAGCTGTGGCCCCCAGAACCGGCAACCGGTGCTGCATCACTGCTGCCCCCTACCGAGGGGTGTCCTGCTACCGGGGGCTGCCAGGCTTCAGCAGCCGCAGCCTCTGTAACCCGGGGTCCTGTGGGCCCCGCATGGCTGTTGGGGGCTTTCGTACCGGCTCCTGCGGCCGCAGCTTTGGCTACCGCTCAGGCGGGGTCTGCGGCCCCAACCCGCCCTGCATCACCAGCGTGTCCATCAATGAGAGCCTCCTCACGCCCCTCAACCTGGACATCGACCCCAATGCACAGTGCGTGAAGCACGAGGAGAAGGAGCAGATCAAGTGCCTCAACAGCAGGTTCGCTGCCTTCATCGACAAGGTCAGTGAAACCGGAGATAGTCCAGAGAAGACCTCAGCCCTGCCTGCCCTAGACAAGGCCCTGGTCTTTTGGGGAGACAGGCTGGCTGGCTGACAGTTCTGAGATAGCAGAGGGAGGAACAGACCAGTATGACTAGGAAGGTGACTGTCATCATTTAACTTCAGCTGAGTTTATGGAGGTCCAGGCATGGCCTAGAAATTGAGTCTGTGGCATAAAGGGTGTGTGCATTTCAGCAGACAAGAGCATACAGGAGTGACTGAGCTGTCCGCAGGAAACAGGCCTGGGCACTGGGTGTGGGAAAAGTGGGAGATAACAGAGCCAGAGGCACTGCTGCTCATGGCCCAGGCAGCAGAAGAAGTGGTGGGGAATGGACTCTGGGTACTGTGCTCCCCGAGTCCTTGATGAGCCACTCAGCAGGGAGACCCCAGGCAGGCTGTACCTCTGGACAGCAGGACCCACCTCAACAGCTTGTGGTGAGGGTTAATGAGCTTGTGCATGGAAAGTACTGGCAAATAACAGCCCTCAATAAATGATAGCTGTTATTATTTTCCAAAGACAGGAGTGGAGGGAGAGGTGCAACAGCCAACCCAGGCTTGGCAGCCTCTTTATGAATGGAAGGCTGGGATGTGGCCAAGAAGGTTGGATGCACAGCTGGGAGGCTGCTTCCCAAGGAGATCTGGAAAGAGAATAAGGACCAGCCTTTTGGGGTCAGGAATCTGGGGGCTGAGAGTGTGACCATCCTGTTATCACTTTTTCTTTAGTGATCTTAGTTAATCCTCAGAATGTCCCAGTGGGGTAGATATTATTATCTCCATTTTTCCAAACAGTAAATTGGAGCTGAGTTTACATGAGCTGTTCAGACATGTAGTGTGGGTACATGAGGGCAGTAGACAGAGACTTGAGGGATGTGGGATCCTTACTCTATCACTTACCATGAGCTGGTCATTTCATACCTTAGCAGACTCAGTTCCCCCATCTATAACATGGGAGAAGTAATATCTACCCCCCCTATAGGATTGTGGTAGCTGAAATCTATAAAAAAAAAGTCCCAGATATAGACATAGACATAGATGTATGTGACTATTCTATAAGAGTTTGTTGCTTGAGTTAATAAATGAAGGATAACTGGTAATTATAGTAGTTAAATTGACTGTCTACATGTCAGGGGCTGCTCTAGGCACTTTACATGTATTTACTGGCTCTGTCTTCCCAACAACTCTATCACCATTATCTCCATTTTAGAAATGGGAAAACCTAGTACCAAGAGGTTAAACAATTTGCCCACTTCAAGGGGAAGAACTGGGACTTGGACTAGACCTTTGCCTTTGAGCTAAGCCTAGGTCACTTTCCCTCATAGCCACAACTGCCTCCCTGGAGGCTGGGAATGGGAACCCTTGGACCTTAAACTCTCAACCCCATGTTAGCCCTGTTCAGCTAACATCCAAGAGACCAGAAACCTCCCCAGGCTCTCCCCTGAGTCGCTTCTCCACCCCCACGCATAGGTGCGCTTCCTGGAGCAGCAGAACAAGCTGCTGGAGACCAAGTGGCAGTTCTACCAGAACCGCGAATGCTGCCAGAGCAACCTGGAGCCACTGTTTGAGGGCTACATCCAGACGCTGAGGCGGGAGGCTGAGTGTGTGGAAGCCGATGGTGGGAGGCTGGCCTCGGAGCTCAACCACGTGCAGGAGGTGCTGGAGGGCTACAAGAAGAAGTGAGTGTGCCGCCCAGGGGAGGCTGGGAAGTTCTGCCCACAGTCCTTTAACCAAGCCACCAGAGACCCAGAGGAGCTGTCCACTGGGTTCTAGGTCTCCCTCAATTCCTGGGCTCCCCTATAGCCCTCAGAGGTCCCATGAATCTTGGAAAAAGTGTTCAAGGGAGTGAGAAAAGGAGCTCAGCAGAGTCCTATCTGTCTCTATTCCCTACCCTTTTTCCACTTTGCAGTCAGTTCTGCACCTTCCCCACCAATGGCATTCACTCTGCCTGGCTCTAGGGTGCACAGGTGACACTAGACCTGGGGGGTGGAGTGTACACTCCCGATCTCATCCCAGTTGCAGGACTGGGAGGTGTGAAGCCTGACTGAGAGGAGGGCTAGCCTGTGAATGATGCACAACTAGATCATGGAGAAGTCAAGATGACATCCAGAGAAGGTTATCCCTTTTCAAACTCCAAAAGAACTTGGCCAGGAGCTGTGATGTAGTTTAAATTCTACCCTCTCAGCTCCAGCCCTTCTCTCCCATGCTCAGGTATGAAGAGGAGGTAGCTCTGAGAGCCACAGCAGAAAATGAGTTCGTGGTTCTAAAGAAGGTGAGGGGACTGGTTGCAGGGAAGGGAGGAGGGGACCCATCAGTGCCATCTCTAGCATGGGGTGCCATCACCATGCTGACCAGAGCACCTTCCTGCACCTCCTCCCACATGCATGTTCCTCTTCCTTGCTCCACCCCAGGATGTAGACTGTGCCTACCTTCGGAAATCAGACCTGGAGGCCAATGTGGAGGCACTAGTGGAGGAGTCAAGCTTCCTGAAGCGCCTCTATGAAGAGGTGAGGGGCACCTGCCAACCAGCAGGGCCCAGGAGGGGGGCAGAGGTACCTGTGGTTGCAAGTGTGTGGTGCACTAGAGAAAAGCACACACACATAAGAGAGGGGCACAGTACAGGGCATGTTGTGTGGTTGTGTGTGCCTGGACATCACATTTGTGTTCACACGTGTGAGCATTATGGAGCGCATGTGTGTTTGTCTCCTCTGTGTCTGTGAGCAGTTCTGTGTGCTGGCTCAAGTGTGTCTGTGCACTGGTCTCTGGGAGTCTTGGTCTATAGATGGATATGAAGGTGTGTATCATTGGCCAGGGTGGGTCCCCGCATGGGGAGGGGGCTTAACTAGTGAACTGATTACCCTGCCTGGGATTCAACTGAGCTTCCCCGCTGGGTGCCTTTGAGTCAGGCCTTTCTCACATTGTGGACTTCAGTTTGTCCATGTTACATCAGAGGCTGTCCTCAGATGAGGCCCAGGGCCTTCTAGGGCTCTGTTGTTTTGCAGCAGACCTGGGCATGAATGTAGGGGCAAACATGTCCTCAGAGCTGGGGCACATGGCCCAGATCAGACACCAGACTCAAATGCCCTGGCTTTTGGCCCCACAGGAGATTCGTGTTCTTCAAGCCCACATCTCAGATACCTCAGTGATTGTCAAGATGGACAACAGCCGAGACCTGAACATGGACTGTGTCGTTGCTGAGATCAAGGCTCAGTATGATGATGTTGCCAGCCGCACCCGGGCAGAAGCCGAGTCCTGGTACCGCACCAAGGTGAATGGCTCAGGACACCTACCTCTTCGACATGGCAGGGGGAGGAAAGTGAAGGGTCTATTAGAAAAGGATTCTTTTACCCTAAAGATGATAAGAGAAGGGCTGACAGCTCTCAGGTTGAAGTAACAGGGCAGCATTGCCATGTGTGGTTGCACAAGCTGAACACTGTTCAACGCGCACAGTCATTGGAGGTGTTCCAAAGGACTGTTATGTCCCATCATGAGCCTCATGAGCATCTCTGCTTTCTGCAGTGTGAAGAGATGAAGGCCACAGTGATTCGGCATGGGGAGACCCTGCGCCGGACCAAGGAGGAGATCAACGAGCTGAACCGCGTCATCCAGAGGCTGACGGCTGAGATAGAGAACGCCAAGTGCCAGGCAGGTTACGGGGAAAACTCAAATGCCCAGCACAGGTGGTTTGTAACACCAGGCCCTTTGCCCCACAGTCAGGAAACAGGGACCCAGATGGAGGACAGGGGCTCTCCACTAGCACACAGCACTTGGATGGGCTGAGCCCTCACACTGACTTCCAAAAAACAATGGAGCCTTTCTTTGGCAGCCCTGCAACCACCATGAGGGAGAGATGTTGAAAAGCCTTCTCATCTCCTCCTTCGTGTCCACAGCCTTGTTAGCTACCTGCCATGGACCCAACCTTCTCTCCCCTTGCACCCCCGCCCTAGCTCCTTCTGCTTGGGTGAGCCAGGCTCTGCTTTCTCTCATCTTTTCTTCATGTCTCCACCCCATAGCGGGCCAAGCTGGAGGCTGCTGTGGCCGAGGCAGAGCAGCATGGAGAGGCGGCCCTCAATGATGCCCGCTGCAAGCTGGCTGAGCTGGAGAGCGCCCTGCAGAAGGCCAAGCAGGACATGGCCTGCCTGCTCAAGGAGTACCAGGAGGTCATGAACTCCAAGCTGGGCCTGGATATTGAAATTGCTACCTATAGGCGCCTGCTGGAGGGCGAGGAGCACAGGTGAGGCTAAGAAGGACTTTGTGAGGGTTGAAGGGAGTAATCCAATCTGGAGCCATCCTAGCAGGTAAGCAGAGCTGGGCCTAGTGAGTGCTTGGATGGGAGAACATGGATCCCTGTTCCTTCCAGTGACCCATCTTGAGCCCCACTGTGATCTGAAATGTTAACCAGGCTAGTACAGGCTCCAAAGGTAATAATAAGCCATCAAATGCTGACTCAGTGCTAGGTGTGCATTTTATAATCCTCACAATCCAGTGAGGTAGGTGCTCTTTTTCCCCATCCAAAGATACAGAAATAGGCTCAGAGTTCAGTGCCTTGCCTGTAGTTACAGTTACTGAGCAGAAGATCTGGGACCTGTACCCAAGTCCTGCTCCTCTATAACCAATTCTAGTAGCACAGCTTCTATGTAGGGCTGCACCTGCCACACAGGCTTATGCACAGTACTGATGATGCACCCCATATGCAAGTAGCTCTGCTTCATTCCTGAGCCCCATCACACACCCTGGAGAGTTTGGTTGGTTCCACCGTCCTGGCTGTGAGTGCCATTGGCACTGGGAGCAGGAGGTGGGGAGCGCAGGTCTGGGGCAGCACATGGACACCATGATCTCATCCCCTACAGATGGGAATCAGAAGGGCCGGCATCCATGGGTAGAGAGCTACAAAGAAGGAGTACATTTAATGCAGATTTGGGGGAGCCCTTCCTGACTATGTACACAGGACATAGGATGACCCTCTCTGTCCCCAGTCAACCATCTGTCTCAAGGAATCCAGCTTAGGCCCTAGAACTAATGGAGTTTCTTTTTCCCAGGCTGTGCGAGGGCGTGGGCTCTGTGAATGTCTGTAAGTATCTGCTTGAAATTCCCCTCGACGATGGCTTTGCTGATAGGTGAAGCTGAACCCACTGCCCTAATCCATCAAACCCAGAACGTTCTCCCACTGACAAGGGCCTTTGGTCCTCTGGGCTCCTCACAGGAGACACCAAGAGAAGAGAAGGCAGAGTTGAGCGCCCCTAACTGGCAGCCACAGTGAACTGCAGGCCATGGAAATGGGTGCTGCAGTCCTTGCTTCATTCTAGATAGGCGCTGAGGCTAGGCACCAGGCCAGTGCCATGGAGCACCAAGAGAGGAGGCGACTCCTATAATCTGATGCCCCAGGGTCTGTCACAGGGTGGGGGAGACCCAAGCAAGCTCCTCACCCTGGATGTCTTCCTTTTCCACAGGTGTCAGTAGCTCCCGCGGTGGCGTCACCTGTGGGGGCCTCACGTTTAGCACCACCCCAGGGCGCCAGATCTCCTCTGGCCCCTCTGCCACTGGGGGCAGCATCACGGTGATGGCCCCTGACTCCTGCAGCCCCTGTCAGCCCCGAGCCTCCAGCTTCAGCTGTGGGAGCAGCCGGTCGGTGCGCTTTGCATAGGGTGGGGGCCTTTTGCCAAGTCACCTGCCCCACCTCCGTCTGCCCGACACTGAGTGATGTGTGAATGGAAAATGTGTGCTTGCTTCAGAATCTTCCAGATGTTCCTACAGAGGGAAAAACCCTTGGGCCACTCTCCTTCACCTTCTCATCTTAGGGAGCTGCTCCCTCCCTAGTTCTCTCCACCTCAGGTAGAGGGTCACTCCCAGCCCTTTGCTTAACTCCAACTTTGGCTCCAGACCACTGTGTGTTATTCACAAGGCTCTCTGGCACATTATCAGTCACCTGGGGTGATGGACAGTATAGAAGCTTGGCCTTCCCTGGGTCAAGGCATGATCCTAACCACCCAGCCAGGGTTCCCACAATCTGAGAATCAGAGAAGTGTCCCCTGCCCCCAGCAGATGGCCAGCACTGCCAGTTTATTCTTGGTTGAGTTTGTTTGTCTTTCTGCCTGTCTGCCTTCCTCTGGGTGACCATGCTCCAGCCAGGCTCTTTATGTGATCTGTAGTGAGAGTCCCATTGTCGTGGGAATCCTTTTGCCTACAGCCTCTGGGTTAGGGGACTTTGAAGAAGGTCTTGCTATCCAGTGCACATTTATACATTTCAAAGACTCCATGGTTGCTCCAAATGTCCCTCTTCCAGGTGCAGGAGGGTACTGTCCAATGCAGAACTGGTGGGGTGGAAAACATTAGGCCATTTCCTGGGTTTCCCTCTGGTTATGTTTGTGGGTACCTTGCCTTCTGGGTTGTCCCAATCTGTGTTTCAATAAAGGCTGCTGCGATGCAAGATTATGTGGTCTTGTGAGCTACAGTGTCTCTGCTCCCTTCTTCCCCAGCACCAGCTCACCAATTCTAGTCCTGCTCCATCCAGTGCTTCCCTAGTGACCCCCACCTCTTCCTGTCTCATTCCATAGCCTGATCCCACTTGGTCCTCAGTCCATGTAGGCCTGGACCACAGCCCCAGCTCCCCTAAACTCTTCCTCCTTAGCCTTCACAGCTCAGCAGCCAGAACCCTACTCCAAATGCACTACCTTACACTTCCTCCAGGCTCAAATCACTTTCCAGCATAAGTGAGGGCCTCTTATGTCAGGGCCAGCTTCCCCCTTGCCCCATCACCTCCTTCTCACCTATTCACCAGCCCTGTCCAACCCCTCCACCCAGCAAGGACACTCCTAGACATGGACTCCACCCCAAGGCAACAAGTTCACCCTCTGAGGCTCCCAGGACTACTCTGTCTCCCATCCTATAGAGACACATGAGCCAGTCCATGCTCCTCTTCTCACTGGCCTTTGCTCAACAGTCTTCTTTGCTCTCCCTGTCTACCCCCTCACATGCACACACACACACACACACACACACACACACACACACAGCTCTAGGATCCTGAGGGTCTCTGGTCCTGCTCTGGGGCTCTGGGGCAGGGATGTCAGTGGGTATGTCTGGAGCCTGGATCAAGCTAAAAGCTTCTGGAAGGCAGAAAGTATCTCCTCCTGGCTCTGAGCCTCTACTAGGTCCTAGGAAGGAGTGCTAAGACCTGCCAGGTCTGGTATGTGTTGGATTAACCGAGGCAGCTAGGAGAACAGAAGCTGTGGACATCCAGCCATCTTGGTCTGAGCTCCATTTCACCATTAGGGGAACAAATGAGATCATTGTCAGACAATCTCTGTCCACTAGCCTGTCTGCTGCTCCAACCTGCTCCCTATCACTCAGCCTCTTTCATAGAGAAGTTAAAGCCTAATGCATTTGGCTGCAACCTCATTTCAGGCCCAGAAGTTTATGACCCCTTTAGAAACTATTGGGTTCTTCTAAGTGCTCAGGCTACTGCTCCATTTGAGGTTTGAAGTGATACCAGCCAGGCCTCCTCCAAGTGTCCTGCTTGCCCCCTTCTTTCTTCTGACTCTCTAGGCCTAGAGGACCTACATATGATCACGAGAGACTGACATTCAACTTTGGATACATCATTCATCATTTAGACAGGAAAGTCTAAATATCAGGGACTGAGAAGTTGGGACATGGAGATTTGAGACCCAATTCTTCCAAGGCTGCCAGGTCTCAGTGAGATCTTAGATAAGATATGGGATCTGTGCTTTGGGGAGGGAGGGCTCTGAGATAAAGCTGAGTCCTCTGCAGCTCTGCCATCTCCTTCATTCTGGGTTGCTAGAGTGAGTCGTGCTTGGGGAGAACAACTTGATGTCACCATAGATCAGGGCGAAGAAAAACTAAAATCCCAAATCCAATACCCCCCAAAATAAGACACCAACATCTGGAAGATATCAATAAGCTTTTTAATATGTTTCTATGCTTGGTGTACAAAGATCACCAATCAATTTGGCCAGCCAGAGTTGTCTTTGGCTTCCAAGGACAGGTACCTCTTCTCTAGTCCCACTTTACAACCATCAGCAAAGATCCAGAGCAAGCTCTTTTGGTCCAGAGCACTCTGGAGCTCCCTCAGCCCTCTCCTGATAAGGGTTCTGTTCCCTAAAGGAGACAACAGGGATAATCTGTAACTGAGGATTGAAGTTTTATTAGAAAAACAATTTTTAACAAAGTCAAGTGATCTGAAATTGAAAGATCAAGGAAAAGCCAGAAGAGCAAATGGCCCCAATCAAAGAGAGGGTCTGTTCCAACCTCTTTCCTAGGCTCTTTCCCATGAAACACCACAAACCAACCTCACATCTTCATCAGAGAAATCAGACCTCTCTAGTCAATTCTTATTTAAATATTTGACATTTTCCCAAAACATCTTCAAAAGGAATCAAAAGTGTAAGCCAGGTGCAGTGCTGCATACCTGTAATCTCAGCACTCTAGAAGGCTGAGGCAGGAGAATCAAAAGTTCCAAAAGTTTAAGGCCAGCCTGGCAAGGGACTTAGTGAGACCCTGTCTCCAAATAAAAAGGGGTAGGAATGAATGTCAGTGCAAAGGCCTGGGTTCAATCCAGTACTGAAAAAAAGAAAAAGTGTGGATGTTAGTCCTTCCTAAACAATGGATAAGCTTGGGCTTGGCTGTCTTCTCCTTTCCCCCTCTGAAGCCATTAAGACTCCTTCAGCAAGTCGCTGATTCAATCATCCTCACAAATACACCAAGATATTTCTTTCTTCTGGGGCAAATGCCTTTGATTGTTTCCTGCTTCAATCTTTAAAATCTCAGGAAATACAACTTTGTGTAATTACTCTCCTAAGCCAAGCAGAGTAAGATACACAAGTTTACTACATTATCAAGAAAGCTAGAAAGTGTGTTTCACATGGACATGGAAATGACCATCTGGGAATTACCTCTTATCTAGCTTATTCACACCACTGCTTCTCTCTGGGAACACGAATGTTACAGGGTGGCTGTACCAAGTGTTTTGTTCATGAACACCATAGCAACTAGGACCTGAATTCTGCTCTCCTTGGGTGTGGGGAAAATGTTAGCTAACATTGCTTCTTGCTACTTTCCTGCCTCCTCCAAACCTTACCAGATTTCTCTGTGCCCCTGAAAATCCCTGCTCATTTCTGCTTTGTTTTAAAACCAAGGGTTCTCCCAATGTGCCCACCATAATTCCTTTCATGCTACTGAGCGGGGATGGTGAAAAGTGAACAGCCATGACATGGAGGAGGGTAGGGGCAGTACACAGAGGGTCCACTTAGGCATTAAAAGATCAAGAAAATATCCAAAGCACAAACTGGTAAATCCACACCATCCACTACCACCACCACCACCACCACCACCATAACCATCAGCACCATCATCGAAAAGGAAACAGAGGGGGCCGGGGATTTAGCTCAGTGGTTCCGCCGCCTGCCTCACAGGTGCAAGGTCCTGAGTTCGATCCCCAGTACCAAAAAAAAGGACCCTCTGCAGGTCATATTCCCGAACTCCAGGGCAGCAAGCACCCGAAGGGACTCCTTTCCCTTCCCAGAGTTACTCTGGTGGCCTTTTCAATCTGATTTTACCCATACTCAAACTTGGTGGGATCCAGACCAGGATGCATCCAAGATGCAGGCCCCTGGGAGAGCCTCTTGGTGCAGGAGGCAGACCAGGAGAGCACTGCATTACTAAGAAATACATACCTTAGTCTTCCAGGGTGAAGGCACTGTCTTGGAGCCCAGAAAACCATACTCTCAAAGGTGGCACTTTGACACATGGAGCTGGAAAAAGTCTTAGAATTGGTATCTCTAACCTTCTCCCCCACCCCTGCTGCCTCTTGGTCTTCTTTGAATCCTTCATCTGGCTGAGGAAACTTCTTTATGAAAAAAAAGAAAAAAGAAAAAAGGAAAAGAAATGTGGGCTGGGGATTTAGCTCGGCAGCACAACATCTGCCTGCTACTAGAGAAGAAGAAAAAAAACTGAAAGTCACCGACACCCAAACAGGCTTTTCATCTCTTCTTCTGAAAACCACTCTGAAAGATTACTGGGAGGTTTTATCAGCATAGTAAGATGACTTGTTTGAAGTACATTTCTTCCCTTCACCTTCCTATAACTTGTTGCCACCTCCCTCCAGAAGCCTCAAGCCCCTATGTCTTTCTGTATCTTAAAATGCTATTTAGCTACCTGGTAATTTCTTTGAGTCTCATACCTTGTGTGTAGCTCCCATACACATTTGCACATTAATAAATTTTATGCTTTTTCTCCTGTTATTCTGTATTGTCAGTTCATCTAGGCAGACTTAATTTGAACCTTCATGGGAAAATACAAACTTCCCTATAACAAATAGCCTGACTAATGAGGCTCCTGAGGACACAGTCTGAAGGCGTCAGAAGGACTGCATTTGCCTGGAAGAACTATTCAAAGGCTTCTCTTTGTCTTGAAATCAAATGTATATTTTTACGGCAAGATGATCTTATACCCGGCTGGGGCTTTTTTTCTTTTTATTTCTAAAATGTTCCAAATAAAATAAAGTGAGAGAAATAGAGTCTTCTGAATCAAGAAGGGAAAGAAGTCCTTTTCTCCATCTTATCACATCCAAGGTGGACACCCTGCACCAAAGGAGACGCTGAGCAGGCCTCCCCAGGTGGAACTTCTCAAGGACTCAGTTCAGGAATGGGCTGGATGTAGGCTTCACCTACTCCCTGTCTCTGTCCAGGCCATCAGGAAAATGGCCTCCAATCAGGGGTCTGAGTTTTAAGACTGGGTCCTTACAGAACACACCTGTCCTAACCACACTATCGTATGATCTGTACAGGATTCTTGGAGAGAATGGGCTATGGAGAGATATTTCTACAAATGTTCTCAGGAGGTCTCTATATCACCTCCCATCTCTTATTTCTGAAGTGTTGACAACTAGTAAAGTAGGACTGGGTAGAACCCATCATTCAGCAGCATCTGATGAGCCAGAGTATTGAGCCTGAAGGAGCAATCAGGGAATGTGGGTAAAGGTGTGTGAACATTAGCATCCCTGGACCTGAGTTTGGATTCTGGACCAGCTGTGTGACCTTAGTAAAATCACTTCTTTCAGCCTTAATTTTCTTGCCCATAAAAAGGGACAATAATGCTGTTGCTGTGAAAAATGAGTGAAGTATGTGTATTACATGCCAAACACTTAGCAGGTGCTTAATGAATGCAGGCTCCCTTTCTTCCTCTTTATGGCATTTGCCACACTCCATGCTGGCATGTGTGGACATCAGGCTATGGCCCTGACCTTTCAGAATTAAAGGAAGGGTGCCAAAGGGCTAACTAATCTGATCCTATGAGAATCAGAGAGAAAGTCACCTCCATTACAAAAATTATTTGACTCTCCTCTTCCCTCTACCTACTGAAACCAGTAGCCCTCACACCTTGGCTTGTACAGCAATTTCCCAGAAGCTTTCTAAAATGCAGATTCCTGGGCTCATCCCTAGAGCTGTTGATTAATGTTCTAAATGGATCCCAGAATCCACATATTTGACAAGTATGCCTGAGGGATCCAGATGCAGGTGGTCATGCATGGACCACACTCTGACAAGCACCAAACAAGCAGTACCCTGGGTGAGTGAGGAAAGTAATGAAGGCACTCAGCAGGAGAAAACCTTTTGCCATCAATATTTAATCAAATACACCAAAAGAAAGAAGAAGGATCCCTGTGGGAATCACGAGAATTCTGTACAATTCCAAACAACCAATAGAATTGACTCATCTGATTGGCCTCAATCATTCTATATTCATTTTATATTTCCATTCTGTAATATAAAATAGCTGGGGAACTCCAGGAATATCCAATCTCTTAGATCAAGCAAAAGGCTTCCTTAGCCCCTCTGCCCCTGTTTTTCCCTCAATATTGAGGCAGCACCCACAGCTCCTCGAATCCAAGGGCCAACCCCAAAGATGCTCCCACATACTGCACATATCTCTCTACCTAGCTCCCTGCCAAACCCAGGGTTTACACTCAAAGAGTAAATTATAACTCCAGTAAGAAGGAAACTGGAGAGTTACTTCTATGACCAATGAATAAACTGGCTTTTGGGCCACAACAGAAAGCTTTCCCCTTCCCACCCCTCCACAGCTCCCAGCAGACCCAAGAGGTCCAGAGTCCTGTCCAGCTATGTGAACTGCACAGACCTTGCACTGGAGCAGGACCCCATGACAGAGGGGGAGCACAGGACACTGTTGCTGGTGGCCACACTCACCACACCCTGTGAGACAGTGGAACCAAGATTCCCGCTGATCACGCCACCCTGGGAACGGCTCACACCTGTGAAAAGAGATACCAGGTCAGAAGTCTCTTCTATCCCAGACATGATATGACCCAGAATCTTCTTATACAAATTATTATTTCTCATCATATTTTGAGGGACCAGCAACATGAGACTTGTACAACTACAGACAAAACCAAACTCATTGTCATCTGCTTCTTGAAGGAACATGGCTATCAAACTAAACACCTCACTCTATTTGGACCAGACTAGTGTTGAGATGAGTTCATGCAATATTTGGGCAAAACTGGATGGATCACACTAGAGGAATCATCTAGAAATGTGGTTTCTGGAAAGCTGAGGGTAATGGATAGTCAGAAGCAGACATCTGCCCTAAGGACTGTATATATAGTAGAATTCTAAAGAGCAGGTATTGTTAGCTGACCAGAGGCCCCAAGTGATCAGAATATAAATTTAGTATTTCTTATTAAAACATGGGGCCATGTGAGTAGTACTCTGTATGTAACAGAAACACTTAGCCTGTTTTGCAGAACCATTTAAGGTGCCAGAATTTGGTTATTAAAGGATTTGCCAAGCTTCAAGGATACTCCAGGTGGGTCTACATAGGGACCAAATATTGTGGGTCACTAATTTGTTTATTTCCCAGAGGCTCCAGCTCTGGTCTCCTTCACCCAGTGCCCATAGACAGATGCAATCTGATGTTCAGACTACTGATACCCAAGAAAGCCACACCTACAGATGCCCAATTTACAGATGTTACCGCACCCATGCCTTCACACAACCTGTAGAGGGGAGGAGGAAGGGAGATATCAGAGCCAAGTTCTTCTGCTTTTGCACCAGATTGTCTTTTTAGCTTGCCATCAATTGGCTATGATATTGGGCAAACTCATTCCCCTCTCTGGACTCGGTGTCTTTATCTATAAAATGGGGGAGGATGGTTGAATTCCATGATCAGTTTGAACTGATCCCAGTTTGAATGTTCTCTGTCTGGAGGATTATAGTTCAATGGGGCTCCTCCAGCCCTGAGTAGGGATGTAAAGGCACACCAGAGCCCCTGTCCTCACCGGCTCTCCTCGCCCTCCAGCAGTTTGTGGTAGGTGGCGATCTCCACATCCAGGCCCAGCTTGGAGTTCATGAGCTTCTGATACTCCCTGAGCAGCCAGGCCATGTTCTGCTTGGCCTTCTGCAGTGCCTCCTCCAGCCCTGTCAACTTGCAGCGAGCATCACTGAGGGCTGCCTCACCCTGCTGCTCCGCCTCAGCTATGGAAGCCTCCAGCTTACTGCACTGTGGGGGAAAAGAGAAGGGGAGGAGTTGAAAAGGGGTTTGGCCTGTGAGGGTTGCTGGTGAGTCTCCAGTTGTCTTGATCATCAATTTTGCCTCTATTTAAAATGGTCAATTTCTGAACTTGATGTTTTTTTAAATGAAATGCATCAGCAGAAAATTAACTAGATGAGGAAGTAAAAGCTCACTTAGAGCTTTTTTTTTTTTGGTACCGGGAATTGAACTTGAGCTCTTGTGCTTTCGAGTTAGGAGCCGGAACCACTGAGCTAAATCCTGACATTTAGAGCTTTTTTATCTTTCATTTTTGCATCACTTTATTGTAAAATTCTCATGAGTTTTACAAGTAGGCCATTAGAGGGAGGAAATGTTAACCTAGGAATAGCACAAATAATAATTAGCACTATTGCCATATGTCCATGTTAGTTTACAAGGCACTTTCACAGGTATTATCTTATTTGACCTTCAAAGTTTTTCTGCAGCCTTGTCAGAACAGGCATTACTATTCCCACCAAGCAGATGAAGAAACTGAAGCTCAGACAAGATGCAACTTGCCCTAGGCAGCCCAATTAAGTAGTGACAAGCCCGGGTTTTCCAAGACCTCCATACAGGGCTTCATCCACCCCACTCCCACACGCACATCTGCACATGTGTGCACGTGTGCACATACACACACACACACGTCTCATTCTTTGGCCCACTGAACTCAGCACACTGAAAGATAAATTCCCAGCACACTGGCTTCCAGCTGCTCCCATTAGACAGAACATTGGAATACAAATGAGCAAAAGCCAGGTTGGGATGGACAGCACCTCAAATCTTCTCTAGTGGCGCTTCCATAAAGTAACCCATTGTTATGGTTTGTGTCTAGATGTCCCCCAATCCTCATGTGGTCATAGGCTATTTTGGAAGTGTGATTGATTCATGGTGGGGCTAGGCCCAAAGGCACTAGGATTAGGGACATGAATGCTACATGCCCTAGGTAGTCTGAATAAGATAAAAGGTGTAGAAAGACACTGTTAAGGCCCCTTGCTGCTTTGCTACAGTTTGTCTACCATGAACTGTTGCCCCTCTGCCACCCTGCCTTGGAGCCAGCTGATTGTGGACTGAAACCTCTATGAACTGTAAGTCAAATAAACCTTTCCTCCTTTAACTTTGGGTGTCAGGTATTTTGTCTCAGTGTTGAGAGAAAAGTAACAAACACACTCATTCCCATATTTCATTAAATTAGCTACTATTAGCAACAAGTTACTTGTGATACATCTTGTATCCAACAGCCACACAGAAAGGAGAGAATGGAAAATGAGCCAGGTGTGAACTCAGCACTAGGCTAGAAGTAGTATGACAAATCGGGGGAGAAACAGATTATATAATCTATTTTCTTACTCTATATAGAAAAATTAAATTAGAACCCTCTTCATTATAGATTTTTGTAAAAGTTCAAATGGAATAAATTCCTAAATGTGAGAGGTAAAACATAAATCTAATAGATGACAAAATATGGGAGTGTATCTCTATTATCTCAAGACTTTATAATGATAAACCCTTGAAAGGAAGAGTGACAGATTGAGAGAAGATCAATTAATTGCAATAGTATGACTGATAAAGGGCTATAATCTAGATAGAATGGATGAGGCAGTGCTGCAAGTCATCACAAAAGGTGAAACCAGGCATGGCAGCACATGCCTGTAACCTCAGCACCCTGGGAGGCAGGAGAGTGGCCAGTTTGAGCCCAGCCTGGATAACGTGGCAATTTAGTGAGACACTGTCTCAAAATTTTTAAATAATTAAAAAGATCTGGGGATACAGCTCAGTGCAAAAGCCTTGGATTCAAATCCCCAGTACTACCAAAACAACAACAACAAAAAGACAGGAATCTCACTAGAAAATGAGCAGATAATGTGAACAGGCAACTCTTAGAAAGGGAAATACAAATGACTTGTATGTGTATGAGAAGTTTCATATCACTACTTAATCAGAAGAATGAAAAGTTAACTAGATTCCAGTTTTACATCTACCAGACTCATAAGAACTGGAAAATCTGATAATAGCAAGTGCAGGAAGAAGACAAAGGGCAAATTCTCTGGCACAGTGAAAATAAAAGCCATTCTAAAGATAGTGGCTGCCCCTGAAGATAGGAGCAAAGCAGAACTAGATAAGAAGCACAGTTCCTGGTACAGTCTTGGTGTCCCTGACCTGCTGCTTAGCATTCTCCACCTCTGCTGTCAGCCTCTGGATCAAGCGGTTCAGCTTGTTCAACTCATCCTTGCTTTTGCGGAGGTTCTCACTCTGCTGGATCACTGTAGCCTTCATCTCCTCGCACTGCAAGTTGGGAGACCACACACAGACATGGTGGCTAAGGTCACAGTGCAATGTCACCACGGAGAGGCTGACCAGCCAGCCCAGTCTGCCACAGTCCCACCTACTTGCCCTGCTCTACCCAGGACCTCAGCTGCAGCCAGTCTGGCTATGAGCACATGTTCCTGGGGCGCTCCAGGGGTACAACCACCTGCTTGTTCAGCAGGGAGCCCAGCCCATTTACCTTGGTCTGGTACCAGCCCGCAGCCTCAGCCCTGCTGCGGCTGGCAATATCATCATACTGAGCCTTGATCTCAGCCACAACCACATCCATGTTGAGCTCCCGGCTGTTGTCCATCTTCACCACCACTGAGGTTTCAGAGATTTGTGACTGAAGGATCCAGATTTCCGGTACATGACAACAAACAGCCTGCAGCAGTAATTCCCACTCCCATCCCATCTCCTAGGTAATCCTCAAAACACCCCCAAAAGAAATTAGAAAATGACTGGCAATCAGGAAATTGTAAAAGCAAACTCTTTTTTTGGTACCAGGGATTGAACTCCAGATGTTCCATTTGCAAGGCAGGCTGCAGAACCACTGAGCTAAATCCCCAGCCCCTGTAAAAGTAAACTTTTAAAGGAAAAGGCTTTGGGGCCAGGGATTTAGCTCAGTGGTTGCGCCACCTGCCTTGCAAGCACAAGGACCTGAGTTCAATCCCCAGTACCAAAGCAAAACAACAACAAAAATGTTATGTAAAGGAAAAGGCTTTAATATGGGCCATGAACCTGTGCAGTGTATAAAGGAGAATTCTACTAGTGCCTGGATCAGCACCAGCCAAAATAGATTTAGATGTATAGGACTGGTGATCTAGCTCAGTGGTTCCACCGCCTGCCTTGCTAGTGGAAGGACCCTAGTTCGATCCCCAGTACCAAAAAGAAAAGAAAAGAAAAGAAAGAAATAGATGTATGCAGATCAACTGGATCACTTCAGCTCAGGGGATGATCTACCAGATCAGCTGTAGCCATCTGTACAACTATAATCCACCAGAGAACAATGAGTTGTCAAATCTTCATGTTATGTCTTGCAGGGTGGACAAGGGATGAACCACGGTTTTTCTAACCATCTTAGAAGATAGGCCTCACCCACTCCCATTTGGAAAGGAGGCCTGAATCCAGAGAAGAATCCCCTCTGGTTATACAATGAAAGGTGTTCAGGACCTAGGAGGGTAAGCAATGCCCAACTTTCCAGAGAACCCAGGAACCAGGACAGCCCACAGCTCAAGAGAGCCCTTCTCTGTCTCCCCCCTCTTCCTCCTCCTCTTACTTCCTCATAGAGAGACCGTAGGAAGGTGATCTCCCTGGTCAACAGCTCCACATTGGCTTCCAGGTCTGACTTGCGCAGATAAGCACTGTCTATGTCCTGGGGGAGACAGACCAGAGAGGGTGGGGGATGGGCACACTCCTACCCTCTGTGTCCTGAGGTTGTCTCCTGCCTATGACCTCTCTGCCTCAGGCCCCTCCACCTGCACTCACAAGTGTAACCTAGACTCTTCATCTTTCCCTTGGGGCCCTCTTCGCTATTTGCTCCTGACAGTCTCTCATGTGAAATGAATATCAGGCAGCAGAACTGATCACCATTGGAAGGAAACTGGGGAGAAGTTCATCCCCTCCAGTACTGAGGACCTTGCTGAACAGAAAGCCTTGTATCAGAGCCCAGAATGGGCTGCTTCATCTCAGCCAAGCTGCCCATAGAGCAAGAGCATGCTGATTCTTCTGCCTGATACCCAGGTGACACCTGTACTGACAGATCTGTCACCAGCCCTCCCTCAACTCCCCCATTACTTACAATTACAGAGGCTGTCAAGGGCACTATTTACTAAAGAACACATATATTTACTTTCACTCATCAAATTGAAATAAAAGGAAATTCCATGAGCAGTTTTTTCCCCTCTGGTGTTTTCATACTCTCTAATAGAACTGAATGACAGCCATTGCTATTAAATCAACACAGACTTACAAATCTCAACAAACTAAGAAACACTGGCTACCACCAAACCACCTCACCCCCAGCCCCATCCCTGTCTAGGATGGTAGGATGAGTGATGTTCACATGAAAGCAGAACAGATTTCATACAGCACATCTCAGCTAACTAGGTTGCTTAGAAGAAGCCCAAAGGCACTACCCCAGGTTTTTTTCTCCAGAGCCCTCATCAACACAGTCTGGGTTGCTGTGTGGTGGCCAAGATGGCATCTTGTCATTGCCAAGGAGTTTAAGTCCTTGCCACCACCAACTGGACTTACAGGAATATGACAGGACACCCAGTATCAGAGTCTTTAGTGTTCAAGGTTTCATTCTTCCCCATGTGACAGGAGTCACTCACCTTTTTTAGCAGAACCAACTCATTCTCAGCTGTGGCCCCGAGGGCCAGCTCCTCTTCATACCTGAGGAGAGAGGACAGGAGAAAGGCTGGCCAGCTGGAGGCTAGGGCTTCAAAACTCGTGCCTTTTCACTTTCTTTCTGTGTGTCCTTGGAGAAGAGCTGTGGCCTCTCTGCACTTTTATTTCCCAGCCAGAAAGAATCAACACAAGGCCACTGGACTCTGGTCCCAGGTTGGACTGAAGTCACTGCAAAGCCTCAGCCCAATGATGCAAAATGGCTTAAATCACCTGCTATGGGGGAGGAGGCTTCCAGGCCTCCATACCACCACACCCACCACAGAGGAGGTGAGCCGCAAAGGCACCAGCAGGCACCACCCCACCCCTGTCAAAATGAGAAGACACATAAACAAGTCTCAAAACCAGAGTTCCAGATCACCTAGAGCAACCCCAAAGGGAAACAAAGTGGAACACTCTGATACTCAACCACCTGGACTCCCTGAACTGGCAACAAAAGAGGATCTGGAAAAAATGAAATCAGAAATAATTTCTCAGATAACA